GTCCTCTGTCAGCTGAAAGGAAGGTCTCGATCAACATTATTTAAATGTGCAAAGACAGAAAGGTAGATTGAGAAAACCGAGTTTTCAAAGATGAGTTGTGGGCAGAGAAACATGAATTTACTTTGTCGTCACCACCTTTGAGTTCAAATTTCAGTGTGAGTCTGCATTCTCAGAAGCAAATGTAGAAAAAGGTCACATTGTGGCCGTCTGACAAAATACATACACTGAACAAAAATATAAACGCAACACTTTTTTTTTTTTGCTCTATTCCCCATGAGCTGAACTCAAAGATCTAAGACTTATTCTATGTACAAAACGGGCCTTTTCCTCTCAAATATTGTTCACAAATGTGTGTAAATCTGTGTTAGTGAGCACTCCTCTGCTGAGATAATCCATCCACCTCACAGGTGTGGCATACCAAGATGCTGATTAGACAGCATGATTACTGCACAGGTGTGCCTTAGGTCGACCACAATTAAAGGCCACTCTAAAATGTGCAGTTTTATCACAGAGGGGCGGTTGTAGATGAGTGGTTAGAGATGTCATCCTCCAATGGGAGAGTTGGGGGTTTGATTCCACCAGCAGTCACATTCTGAAGTGTCCCTAGGAAAGACACTGAACCCCTCATTGCATCCAATGTGTGTCCCATCAGTGTATGAATGTGATAAAGCACTGATTATTCTTTGTATAGATCTAGCAGAGTGCTGTATTAATAGGTAAATGAGGGCACAGATTGTGTTGTAAAGTGCTTAGAGTATCTTGATAAGATAGAAAGCGCTATACAATACAGTCCATTTACCTTTTACAGCACAAGGCTACAGATGTTGCTGGTTTTGAGGGAGCATGCAGTTTGGTTTATTAAAAGTTAACTAAGTTCAGTTTATTAAAACATATTTGATTTCACTAGTTATTCCAGACATTTGACCTTTCTAGAAAAAATTTAATAAAATGATTTGGACCTTTGAGTATTTAATTTGAGAACCTCAATACCATTATTTTACAAGGTGACACTATGGCTCCATTCGCACTGCAGGCAAATGTGGCCCAAATCCAAATTCTTTGCCCATATGTGACCCATGTCAATTTTTTTTTAGAGTGGATCAGTTGGTACAGCTTTAAAAAATTATGTTTTGTCTTGTAGGACTTACACAAATAAGGCTCCTGCAGGTAAATGTGGTCCAGTCAGTTTTTTATGACAGTCTGAACATGACAAATCCAGTTTTTTTCAAATCTGACCCAGGCCTTTTTCATCCATCCATCCATCCATCCATCCATTTTCTTCCGCTTATCCGGGGTCGGGTCACGGGGGTAGCAGCCTAAGTAGGGAGGCCCAGACTTCCCTCTCCCCAGCCACTTGGGTCAGCTCTTCCGGGGGAATCCCGAGGCGTTCCCAGGCCAGCCGAGAAACATAGTCCCTCCAGCGTGTCCTGGGTCTTCCTCTGGGCCTCCTTCCGGTGGGACGTGTCCGGAACACCTCACCAGGGAGGCATCCAGAAGGCATCCTAAACAGATGCCCAAGCCACCTCAACTGGCTCCTCTCGACGTGGAGAAGCAGCGGCTCTACTCCGAGTCCCTCCCGGATGATCGAGCTTCTCACCCTGTCTCTAAGGGAGAGCCCAGACACCCTGCGGAGAAAACTCATTTCGGCCGCTTGTATCCGAGATCTCATTCTTTCGGTCACAACCCAAAGCTCGTGACCATAGATGAGGGTGGGAACGTAGATCGATCGGTAAATTGAGAGCTTCGCCTTTTGACTCAGCTCTCTCTTCACCACGACAGACCTGTACAGCGCCCGCTTCACTGCAGACGCTGCACCTATCTGCCTATCGATCTCACGCTCCATTTTTCCCTCATTCGTGAACAAGACCCCAAGATACTTGAACTCCTCCACTTGGGGCAGGACCTCCACCCTGACCCGGAGAGGGCACTCTAGCCTTTTCCGGCTCAAGACCATGGCCTCGGATTTGGAGGAACTGATCTTCATCCCGGCCGCGTCGCATTCGGCTGCGAACCGCTCCAGTGAAAGCTGTAGATCACGATCTGATGAAGCCAATAAAACCACATCATCTGCAAAAAGCAGAGACGCAATCCTAAGGCCACCAAAACGGATCCCCTCAACACCTTGGCTGTGCCTAGAAATTCTGTCCATAAAAGTTATGAACAGAATCGGTGACAAAGGGCAACCTTGGCGGAGTCCAACTCTCACCGGGAACAAGCCTGACTTACTGCCGGCGATGCGGACCAGGCTCTGACATCGGTCATACAGGGACCTAACAGCCCATATCAAAGGGCCCAGTACCCCATACTCCCAGAGTACCCCCCACAGGGCCCCCCGAGGGACGCGGTCGAACGCCTTCTCCAAGTCCACAAAGCACATGTAGACTGGTTGGGCAAACTCCCACGCACCCTCCAGGACCCTGCTGAGAGTGTAGAGCTGGTCCAGTGTTCCACGGCCAGGACGAAAACTGCACTGTTCCTCCTGAATCCGAGGTTCGACTATCCGACGGACCCTCCTCTCCAGAACCCCCGAATAGACCTTACCAGGGAGGCTTAAGAGCGTGATTCCCCTGTAGTTGGAACACACTCTACGGTCCCCCTTCTTGAACAGGGGGACCACCACCCCGGTCTGCCAATCCAGGGAAACTTCCCCCGATGTCCACGCAATATTGCAGAGTCGCGTAAGCCAACACAACCCTACAACATCCAGAGCCTTAAGGAACTCCGGGCAAATCTCATCCACCCCTGGGGCCCTGCCACCAGGCCTTTTTCATGTATGGTACTAAATCAGATACTTATCTTATGTTATTCAAAGAAATTGCAGTCTGAACAGTCGTGATGCATTTCATATGACTTTTACGTCAGTGATCTATAGGGGTAAGCGGATTGATCATATTAATAAATTGACACCAACCTCATGCAGCTTAAATTTTGGAACACAGTGCATCTTCATCTACAGAACAAAAGCCTAGTTGGGTCTACTTTGTTATTTTAATTTCTCATGTTCTGGATGGCTGAGATTATGAAGCAACATGCTGATATTAGTATCACACTGTATTGATACTAATGATGGTATCAATACTTAAGTTTGCTTTTACCTTCAGTGCGTCGCTCCTGTTCCAAAAATACAACGCTGCGCCGGAGCATATGTCAAGAGACAAGATTGAATGGAGACACTGGCCCAAACAAGCCTGTCAGATAAGAATTGGTTCTGATTGCATAACGATGTCAGAATCACACGTGCTAATATGCGTTAGGTTCCCTTGAACAGCAGCCATGATCTCCCCTCTTAAGAGTAAAAATGGAAAAGGTAGAAGCTGGACTGGACCTGTGATGGAGAGCGAGTACTGTAAGGAAGCAGGGATGGATGCATCACGCACACTCAAATGTGTCTTTAAAGCTCAGCCATGAATTATTCATCAACGGCTTCACTCTGCTGGCAGAAAAACGAGGGATCAGTTAAGTGGAGATAGAAGCAAAGATGGGGGTGGGGGTCAAAGAGTTAAAGGAAGCAAACTAGGCTTTGGCAGTAAGACAGATATATGCAAACAGTATATGTAAAAAGTATGAAACAAACAACTAGGAGACAATAGCCCCCTTCAGATTTATTGGTAATTTCTCTACATGCAATGTATTTTTATTTACCTTTTGCACAAATTCTTGTCAGGTGTCCACAACTTACATTAAGATGGTTATGGCAAAGTCTTGTTTTATTTCTCTTTCTTTCAATTTGTGCCATATATATAATGGTGAACATTAAAGTTAAAATATCTTTCCATGTTTGCATAATGTATTATTTCTTAAGGAAACTATTTGTTTTAGCTGAGTGCTTTTAGATAATCTTTTTAAGGTGTAACAAATTAAGTATTCCTGTGTATGTTATGTCCTTAACGTAAAAGTCAAAGACCAGTTTTATGTTGGGTTTGCTCACTGCCATATTTACTGTATGCTGCTGTCACAGTTTAGCATTTTGCCTTGTGTGTAGGTATGTTCTGAAAGTCCTTTTGTCAAAACTTTAATAGCATATAGTATTCCATTTTTCTAAGTTAGATCTTGTGACGTTTATGACATTTGTGTAAAGTTCATGATGCATCCTGGGCTAATGGGTGAGATGCATGTGGTAGGCTAAGTACAGGTGTAACTGTTTTGTTATTTTGTGTCATGGCTGCAGCAAATTTGTGGCATTCACCATGATCTTGTCCCGATGTTCAATGAATGGGTTAATGTCCAATTTACATTCTTCTGTCGGTGTCTATCAGAGTTTCACCCACCATCTTTAGGGTATTCTTATATTTTTATTTAATTTTATTTGATTTTTTAATATTTTAACCTTAGGATAATGTGTTTGTTGTGAGTGAAAACAGAACAGTAGTTCAGATCACTTCCTACTGCAAAACCAAGACTTTAGTCACTGACAAGGTTCTTGTAGTGTTCCTGTGCTATAAATGAATAAAATGCTGTGTTGTGCTCTGTCTGTATGCTCAACTATATCATATGGCTAACATAGATATGAAATGACTTGAACCGGTGCCCAGCTGTCATGAAAATACATCTAAAATCGAAGATCAAGAAAACTTAGCTGTGTATGTTTTGTGACTGTAACTTCTAATGCATTTGTCCAATGAACTAGCAGTCAGCTCTCCCAGCAGGTCTGCATCTACCACTAAAGCCTAATTCAATCAGGGCTGACATCTCAGTCAGAACTGGGTTTGGCTGCCACTCCTGGCCAGTCACCACACCACCAGTAGAACCTAATGCACCAGCAAAGATACAGGCAAGATGGATGGAAAGACAAAGAATGAGGAACAAAGAAGAAGGGAAGCAAGGCAGGTTAATCGGTTAGAATGACATGTCGGTGAACAAGTGCAATAAGTGACACATAGAAGAAACAGATGCTTCATCTGCCACTTGTGTATGAGAGAAGTCAGCTTTTGTCTGTGCAATATTAGTGGAGGGATTTGAGGTGAACAGGTCATGTGTCTGACCATGTGTTTGTGTTACAGCTCTGCCTCAGAGGACCTGGGCTGCAGGCGTGGAGACTTCAGCAGGAAACACTATGGTTCTGTTGAGCTGGTGAGTCCCACCCACCATGCACTACAACACACTTTATGTTTCACCCCCCACATTCTCCTCCTCATTAGTTCTTCTGTTTGTGATCTCATATCATCTTCTCACCTCTCACTGCCCCCATCCTCTCCATGTCCATTCTAATGGATAGATATACTGCTTGTGGTCCAGCAATGTGCACTGCCAGCCCGGATCACAACGGGTGCTACCCTTGCTGTGACAGAGAGCTCTGCTTGCAGTCTAGCCTCCAAAGTTTATTTGTTCTGTGTTAGCAGCTGGTTCAAAAGTATTACACAAGTGTGTGCATGAGTGTGTGAGACTTTGTGGTCGACTACTAAAACATTGAGTCACTGCTGTTGTTGGGAGTGGGTGTGTGTGAGATTGCAACCCATCACTGTGAGCTGAGGCTGTACATCCTGATAGCTCAGAGGGGCAGGAAGTCTGCTCTGTGATTGTACCTCCCACCAGAGAAGTTATATGAGCTTGTCTATAATTGACACACATGATGTGACAGATTAATGTTTAGAAGAAACCACATGTTGCCTATCGGCACCAGCAGACAGATGCTGCGCCGCAGTGCAGCTGTGTGAGGGGGCATGCATGTGATAAAAAGCAGACAGCAATGAGATCGAGGCAGCATGAGGCCACCACTTGGTGTGAAGCGACAGTTCCTTTTTTTTGCATTAAGCATGTGTCAAATGATCTGTGAGAGGTAATCAGCCGTGTCTTTTTTTTTTTTTCCACCGGAGGACCTGGAAATGTGTGACAGTTCTTTCCAGCTCAGGTCCCATTTGATCCTTCAGGATATAATTTGATATTAAGACAAAAATATTAAACAACATGACAACAAAAAGCTTATTTTGACTCTAGGTCATGCATTCATGTTACATATATTTCATTTGTATTGAGTTTAAAGGTGGGGAAGTAACCTTGTATTACAGTTTAGGTAGGTGTGTCCCACACAAGTGTATCCATCTCTTTTGTTTTCATTGGTATGGTGTTCTGCTTTTATGTATAATACTTCAAAGTAGTGTTCATCAGCATCTTCTTGTTGAAATTCCTTCATTAGCCTATGGTAGTGTCCAAACTTCAGTTTTCTTTCAGTGTCTAGCCAAGGTCATAGATCATATTCCAAGAATACCAAATAATACACCCCTGATATGCAGCTCAATGCATCAGAATCAGCTTTATTGTCATTGCACCGAAGCACAACAAAATTACATTTTCAGTACAGCCTGTCCGAGAGACACAAACAAACAGATATGGGGGAGTCAGAGGTGACTGAAGCCGCCGGCCCTGGGAAAGGCAGCCTTATTTTCAGATAAAGAAAAAGAAACACAAGGGAGAGGGGAGGTGTTAAAAAAAAATCAAATCTCACACTGTGTTCTAGATGGGACACAGTGTGAAAGTTGCAAAAAAATGACCTCAGCACATAAAACAGCAACATACTGATAACATCATAACACATTTACGCATGAGGAGGCCGACGAGGGCAGCGAGTTGTCCGTGGACTCTGCCAGAAAGTTCCATAGTCCTGATAAAGATGGCACAGTGTCTATCAGCCTTCTCAACTCTGACACAGATCCACAGATGTCCTCGGGAGGGGAGCGTGTAGGGTGGGTGGGGGCAGAGCTTCTTGTTCACATAGACAACCAGGAGAAGTTGAGATACTTGGCCAATTCAAAGCCGAGCGGGGAAGCCAGATTCAGGTAACACAATTATTTTGGGTCAGGCAGCCTCTGCTTGAATTTCCATGTCTGCCTTCATAGTTCTGCTGGTACATCTCAGTGGAGATTTCAAACAACCAAATCTTGTGGTCACATCGCCGGGCCGAGCTTGTAACATTCTCCAAGGTCAATTCCTTCCCACCAGTGAGTTCCAGGAGTCGCAAGTTGCCTGCGATTCTCAGAAATCATGTCCCACTTACGGCTCAATTCATCCAGTGTCTGAGTCTGAGTGCTTACAGCCCGGTACATTCCTTCATGTCGGGCAACCTTACCAAGGACAGAACGGCTGCCGAAATTTTCTGCATTTGTCGATAAGCCAGGTGACCGCCAACTCCAAAAAGTAGAAATCCTGTTTATCATAAATCCAATTATGTACACATCTTCTACATCCTCGACTGACAATACCAGAAGGCAAGCAAATGATAACACCTACATGAAAGCACCACATGTACACCACAGTAAGTAAGTAAAGTTTATTTATATAGCACCACAAAGTGCTTCACACTAGAAGCAGTAAAAAAATTAATAACATACATCAGAATACATACAAACATCGATACAGTGCGATAGCAGTGCAGACAGAGCAGATGCATAGCACAGCATGAGATTGTGTAACATTATTGTTGGCCCGTTGCAGCTTTTGTTGTTAAAATGTTAATATGTGACATTTCAAATTTGCAACTCATGCTATAGAATTTAGAAAAAATAGAAAAATACTTTTGTGGCAGCAGGTGTTTTTAAAATTCTGGAAACAAATGATAGAGTATCAGAAAGAGGCAGACGTGATTTTTTTTTTTTTTTTAATCGCCATGAATAAATAAAACACAAACTATCACTCTGTCCAAATGTACAGCCTGCAGCCCTGACGGCTTTGAGTCCAACAGCTCTATCTCTGATTTGCACTGCTTTTCTAACATTAGTATTGCATCAACACAAATACTACGAATAAAGCAAAGCATCGTCGAGACTGGGTGGATGCTGCGCTGCTGCAGCAACAGCCTTTCAGAGAGCTAAAGTCCATCAAAGATAAATAAATATACCTGTACATTTAACCAACGTGAGATTTGTGGGGGGAAAAAACATATGGGTAATTCTATGATTCATAGCACACTACAGGCAACAAGCAGACAAAATTAATCCTGTTTGCACAGAGAGTTGTTTTTTTGGCTAAAATGCACACATTATAAAGCTGCTTGTGCACCCAGCTCATTAACAAAAAACCTTTTTACTTCCAAATTTGTTTTTACTAGTAAATTTGTGCACTAAAAAGCAAAAATTCAATTTGACTCTGAAGTTAAGAATGAAAGGTAAAGTGTAAACTTAACAGCATGTGATTATCCAACATTTTTCAGTCAGGTCATCTGGACAGTTTCTTTTTTTGTGCTGAAACGTTTCGCCTTCGATCCGGAAGGCTTCATCAGTCAAGGACACACACAACACAAAACTGATTCTTCCCCCAACAGCTTACTCCAAAATGGAACAAGCCAGTTATGTTGGTGCTAAGATGGTGTCTTTGGAACGCCCCCTCCTCCATTGCTGGCCCTCTTCCATGTGAGCATGTGATTATCCTCCCTGAGGTTGTTGTTTAAGATCAACCTGGGCTTATCAAGCGCCATCATTAATTTTTTATTATCCACCTCCACCTCTAATAAACACAGCTTTTCTCACACTGGATGCACTTGTGTTAAAAACTGACTCATGCTGTAAGGATTTGAGGTTTAGGCCAGTTTTGTTTTGAAACAAGCATACATTTCATTAGACTGGTATAGAAAATGAACCATGGATGGGAGTTTTGACTTTGATATTGCTAAATTAATAGCAATGGCTTCCTACAAATCATTATGGTCTCATTTACCATGTTCACTTCTTCTTGTCAGGGTGCTTGTGGTCCTTTTAAAAAATTATGTCAATACCAGTTCACAATAAAAGTAATCACAGGGCTCTTGGTAAAAACAGGTTCAATTCAAATCCAATTACATACAATTTAATTCAGTCCTGTTTGTTCCAGAAATTTTTAATGTAAACTAAAATGAGTTTTAATCAGATCAAATCCAAACATTTACAGTTCTATTCTGTCATGTTACATATCTAAACACTCACCTTTAGTAAAACATAAAATGCCTATTTGGCCTCTCTAACTAAAAGCAGATTGTATTGAACCTTTACTATGATTCATGCGCCCATCCTGAGCAAGCACCAGGCGGCAGGCAACAGCGGAGAGGAATGACTTCCCTTTAACAGGAAGAAACCTCCAGCAGAACCAGAAGCAGGCTCAGGGTGAGCGGCCATCTGCCTCGACCAGCTGGGGGTTGGAAAATGAAAAAACAGAAACTGTTTGTTACAAATATCTTCCAAGAAAAAAGGGTTAGGGTTAGTTTTAGTGTATGGCTTTATGCCTTTGAGTTGGTCCTGTGATGGCCTGGATCTTGAAGACTTTCCATCCATCCAGCCATCCAGCCATCCATCCATCCATCCACTGTTCCTTTTTGGGTCGTGGGGGTGTATCAAGCAGTCTGTGTGAGAGGTGAGGTACACCCTGGACAGGTCCATCACAGGGACACATAGAGACAAAAAAAATTCACTCTCTCACTCACACAATTTAGAGTTAGTCAGCCTAACATGCATGTTTTTGGTCTGTGGGAGGAAACCGGAGTACCCGGAAAAAACCCACACATGCACGAAGAGAACATGCAAACTCCACCCAGAAAGGTCCCCGGACTGGGATTCGATCAAGCAACTTTCTCTCTGAGAGGCAATAGCTCTACCAACTGAGCCACAATGCCACCATGACTTCTTGTCCATTGACTGGCAAAGATTTGTCACAGCCACTCATGCTCTTGAACAGAATTAGACAAGTACAGAAAAAGAATGGATCAATGTCCAATCAGTTTGGAAATTTCTGAGTCCATCTCCTCCTCCTTTAACAAATATAGTAATTTCTAACTTTTGAAATACTAAGCACAGACCCAACTGCTGAATGAACAAGTGAGGCACACCAGTTTCACCATTGTTAAAAGAACCTGTCCACCATTGACCAGGGGCAGAGACCTCCGTGTCCAACTGTCCCCCTCCTATTATTGCATCACTCAGCCCTCTGTGAATAGCAAGTGGCCATCAGGGCACTAACAATCAATTGTTAGGCTGGTGGTCTTCCTTTTGCACACAAATACTAGTTTTGGCTGTCACCAGCAAACTGGTTGATCCACTATGAGAAGGTGCTGCTTATAAGACTGTTTGTTGCAGAGCCTCAGATTGAAGAAGTCTTTTGGACAAAAGACG